TCACTTCCAATCCCCCATGTATTTTATTTTTTATTATTTTATTTTATATATATACTCCCCTTTATTACTTTTCAACCCCACCATCCTTTCCCTACTTGGAGTAAATTAGTGAACAACAACGCCCAGGCCTCCACTTCCGGTCCATACCCACCACCTACACCCCATGGACAGAGTCAATTTTACAATAATTCTATTATATATATTTTTATTTATTTTATTTTTTATTGCTCCTGAACTTCTTCTACTCTCAACCTCTCCGATCACTTCCACGATGTCCATCCGGCCCGCCCCCACACGCCACATCCCCCCAACCGCGCTCCCTCCCAAAAGCTCCCAACATACAACCTATATACTTATTATGGACACAGTATGCTTACATTATTAGCTATCTTTGTTATTATTTGTTGTTATTTGTTATTAGTCCCATCCTTCAACTCTATTCAATACCTCCCATCTATCTCTTAACACCATCCATATAGGATTTCTATTTGCCATATATATTTCAACCGTACTGTGATGTTTTACAAAAGTTCTGAACCTTTCTATTCTCATTGCTTCTACAGATTGTGAATTAAAAATAAACATTTTTGCTAAAAGTATTATTATATTATTGATTGATTGACTATGACTTTTCAGATCACCCAGTAATGCTATCTGCAAGGTTAGTTCCAGGTAAATATTGCAATCCTTTAGCCATTCCTGGACCTGTGTCCAAAAACAAGCTACAAATGGACAGAACCAAAACAAATGATCTAATGATTCTGTCTCTTCACAGCAAAATCTGCAGAGCTGGGAAGATTGTATCCCCCATATAAATAACATTCTATTGGTAGCAAGAATTTTATATAATAATTTAAATTGAAAGATTCTAATTTTTGAATCCGGTGTCGTTTTGCGTGTCAGTTCATAAACACTATGCCATGGGATCGGTACGTCAAAGATCTCTTCCCAACTATTTTGCAATCTATATGGGACGGCTGTCAATCCTTTGGTCCTTAAGTGAAACTGATATACTTTTTTATTTATCACAGTTTTCCTTAACCAATTATGTTCTTTAATGCAAGGCCGACAGACAAGTTCCTTACTTTCTCCCCCTTCCACTTTCCTCTTCCACTTTTGCGGTAAGGCTGCAATTATTTGGTTGTAATTTTGGGTAGAGCAGACATTTCCATATGTTTTTGTCAGCTGCATGTGCGACATAACTCCACCAGTCCTACCGATGATATCATTTACGAAGATTATACCTTTTTTAAACATTCTGTCAAAAAATAAAGGTTTTTTGTCAATTAGTATATTTGAATTTAACCACAATATTTGTTGCATTATTTGTTCTGTCGTTTCTGGAGGATTAAATTGAAATTGCAACCAACTTTCTATGGCTTGTTTTAGAAATAGTGACATTTGGGAGATTATTTCCTTTTCAAATAACTGAAAGTGAGTGGTTGTAATCTGAATAAAGGGAAAAAGGCCTTTCTTGAACATTGGGTGAGACAATCTTACTAATTTGCTTGAGAACCAGTTCGGATTTAAGTATAACTTTTGTATGACTGAAGCTTTTAGTGATAGGTCTAATGCTTTAATATTTAATAATTTCTGTCCTCCGAATTCATATTCATTATATAAATATGCTCTTTTAATTTTGTCTGGCTTGCCGTTCCAAATAAATTTGAATATTTTTTTCTCATATAATTTAAAGAACTGTTCGCTAGGCGTAGGCAAGACCATAAGCAAATAGGTAAACTGGGATAATACTAAAGAGTTAATCAGGGTGATTTTTCCACAAATTGACAGGTATTTTCCTTTCCATGGTAGTAAGATCTTATCTATTTTTGCTAACTTTCTATTAAAATTTATTGAAGTGAGATCATTTATTTCCTTTGGGATATGTATTCCGAGTATATCCACATCACCATCAGACCATTTTATTGGTAAACTACATGGTAATGTAAAAATTGTATTTTTTAGTGATCCAATACTTAATATAGTACATTTGTCATAATTTGGTTGTAATCCAGAGAGGTTAGAAAATGTATCTAGATCCTCTATGAGGCAGTGGAGGGATTCTAGTTGTGGATTTAAAAGAAAACATGAATCATCAGCGTACAATGACACCTTTGTTTTTAAGCCCTGTATTTCTAATCCTCTGATATTATTATTGGATCTGATTTTAATAGCTAACATCTCGATGGCCACAATAAATAGATATGCCGATAGTGGACAACCTTGTTTCACTCCTCTTGACAGTTTAAAACTTTCTGAGAAATAGCCATTATTTACTATTTTACACCTAAGGTTACTATACATGATTTTGACCCATTTTATAAGAGATTCTCCAAAATTGAAATGATCCAGGCATTTATATATAAACCCCAGTCGAACTTGATCAAATGCCTTTTCGAAGTCTGCTATGAATAGCAGGCCTGGTTTCCCATATTTTCCATAGTGTTCTATTGTTTCCAATACTTGCCTTATATTATCTCCAATGTATCTTCCATGTAAAAAACCTGTCTGATTAGAATGAATAATATCCGACAATACCTTTTTAATTCTATGCGCTATACATTTTGCTAGGATTTTTGCATCACAACACTGAAGTGTAAGGGGCCTCCAATTTTGTAAATGGACTGGATCTTTATATTTTCCACTTGTATCCTGTTTCAGTAATAATGAGATCAGACCTTCTTCTTGAGTGTCAGATAATCTACCATTTACATAGGAGTGGTTAAAACATGCTAATAACGGTCCTCTTAGTATATCAAAAAAGGTTTGGTATACCTCGACTGGTATGCCATCCAACCTTGGAGTTTTCCCAGACTTAAAGTCTTTAATTGCATCCAGAAGTTCCTCCTCTGTAATTTCACCTTCACATGAGTCTTTCTATGTGGCTGTTAATTTGACATTATCAATAGAAAAAAATCTCTACAATTAGCTTCAGTTAGAGGAGATGGAGGCAACTGAAAAGAAAACATATGCTTAAAGTACTTTGTTTCTTCCTTCAAAATATAATTTGGTGAATTATGGGTGACTCCGTCAATTGTAACCAGTTTCATTAAGTTCTTTTTGGTAGCATTCCTATGTTGAAGATTAAAAAAGAATGTTGTGCATTTTTCCCCATATTCCATCCAGTTTGCTTTATTTTTATAATATATTACACTTGATCTTTCTTGAATAAGTTTCTCCATTTCTTTTTGTTTTTCCTCTAATTTATTCTGAGCCTCTATGTTACAGTTTTTATTGCCATCTATCTGTTCTGTTAGACTTTCTATTTCCTTTCTTAGTATAAACTCTTTTGACCTAAATTTCTTTTGTTTTCGAGATGAGTACTGAATTGCATGGCCTCTAAAGGCACATTTAAAGGTGTCCCATACAATAAGGGGATTCGCTGTACCTATGTTATGTTGGAAAAAGTCAGTTATAAATTCCTTTGTTCTAATTATAAATAAATTATCATCCAATAGGCTTTGATTAAATTTCCAATATCCTCGCCCACGTGGAAATTCAGTAAGAGTAATGTATATGCCTATTATATGATGGTCCGACCGCATTCTGTCCCCTATCAACACTTTTTTAACTTTTGGTGCCAACGAGAATGAGATAAGAAAGAAGTCAAGACGACTAGCTTGATTCAGTCTCCGCCATGTATATCTCACTAGATCAGTATATTTAAGCCTCCATATATCTACTAGTTCTAATGTATCCATGACATTCACAATTTCCTTAAGAGCATGTGGGTGATGTTGTGGTGATTCCTTTACGGTCCATTGAGCTATTTAAAACAGTATTATAATCCCCCACCATAATAATATTGTCTTGAGTTGCTTGCAGGCTTGATAATTTATTATATATATTGTCAAAGAATTGTGGATCATCATTATTTGGTCCGTAAAGGTTAATGAGCCATATCTGTTTATGGTCCAATAACATATTTAAAATAATCCATCTACCTTCTGTATCTATTTGTACAATTTGCACATTCGGATCGAAATTACTATTAATTAATATCATCACCCCTTTTGAATTTCTTTGCCCATGGGAGAAGTATATTTCCCCCCCCCCCCCCCCCCCCCCCCCCCATTCTGTTTTCCACGCTACTTCATCTCGAATTGTTGAATGAGTTTCCTGTAAACAATAGATATTATATTCCTTCTCTTTGAGCCATGTAAATATTGTTCTTCTTTTGTTATTATCAGCTAAGCCATTACAATTATAACTGGCTATACTTATTTCACCATACACCATAATGAGATACAAGTTTCAAGTCTATTTATCATTATATATGTTTGTAAATTTACCAATAAAATATAGCGTAATGATTGAGTGTCCATATAGCTGTACCGTGATATTTGCACTGCTACGGAGTAACCCTTCAATTGTTCTCCACTAATTCCCCCGCTAAAGCCCCTCCCCATCCCAAGTTGAGCCGTCATCCCAGTGATCAGCATCCCACCCACGTCCCTCCGCATCCCTAAGGCCCCGAGAGGCCAGGACCCATCCATCGAAAACAGCACACAGTACCACCCACAAAACAGAAGCAGATTAACCGCCAAAAGCATTTCCAATGCTTTCACCTCTATATATATATATATAACTATTTTTTTTAAAATTATGCATATCCTATTTTCCATCATTATCAATTAATATGCGTAATAATGTCGGCAGTTCACGCGTAGGATTCTAACATATAACCTGGATTGCCATTGTATTACATTTAATTCATTGACAAGCAATTATTATCCTAGCAAATAATTCCCGCGGTCCATCCCATACCCTCCCCCCCAACATCCCCACCCCCCCACAACAGATGCCAGACAAGCACACACGCACATCCTCACCACTTCTTAGACTTGCTTTCAATGAGAATGACAGATATATAACTCACATTTCTATGTGAATTTGGTTGGGTCGCCCAAAAGGTTACTTATTGCAGCTTTAACCTACATATTAACAAGACTATCTGTAGTGCTATGTTTACTGAGGTTATTATGGTTACTGTCTCTCACCAGGTAGTCATCGGGTCGGATTCCAAACAGTTCTCGGAAGTAACGGAAGGCCACGGGGGCGTAGGTCTTAAACCTGAAGTCTGGGTAGTGATGGGCAGGAGTCAGGTTACTTCCCTCACTGGAGAGATGATGGGAGTGAGGAAGAGAGCCAGAAAGAGAGAAAGACAGGAGCGAGAAAGGGAAAGAAGAGTTATTGTACTAGAGAGCATTTCACATTGTAGGTGTTTTGAGTGACTATATACACACACAAACAAAAACACCCCCTCCCCATTTATAAACATACAAACACATCTGCCATCCACACACACACAAAGTCAGACACACCTGGGGAAGAAGATGCTCTCGACCACGTAGAAGTCCTGCATGAGGACATCTCTCTCTGGCTTGGAGCTCAGGTTGCCCACCGTGTAGCCAATGCCCAGCTGGATGGCACCTTTCAGGGCAGAGGACGTGGTCTGGAGGGCACAGGCAGGCAGGTTACAAACCACAAGTCACTAAAACAGATCCATGAAAACAAATATGAGGGAGGAAAAGGATGAGAGGAGGACTGGTGAGAGGAGAAGTCAAAGAAGTACAGAAAGGTCTGGGATGGGGAGAAGAAGGAGGAAGAAAACAGAGAGGTAGGAGAGGACATGGAAGAGAGGGAAGCAGGAGAGAGGTATTGGATGGAGGGAGGAGAGAAAATAGAAGAAGAACATGAAGACGAGAGAGGAAGGAGAGCGAGAGAGAGGGATGCAGAAGAGGAAAGGAGTAGTGTACCTTCTTATAGGTGGTCTCTCCAGAGGCGTCTACTCTCCTGTGGCCGATCTTCTTCTCCTGACCTGGGCCTAGACCCTGAGCTGTGGGGGACGGCATCTGAGAGAGAAGAGGGGAGACTTGCTTTACTTGTGTGTTACTTACACTGCATGCTGTACTGCACAAAAACATATGTAATTTTAGGTATGTTTAGTGTGTGTGTGTGTGTGTGTGTAACTAGCCCTCACCTCGCTAATTGTTGTAGACCTCCTACGACCAGCGTCTTCTGTTGATGAACAGAGGAGAAAGAGAGAACATCCATGCATACTGTGAGATACATGCATGAACCAGGATGAAAGGCACCAGTATGCACCTGTTATTGCCAGGAGGGTTTAAAAAGACCAAAACCACATACATCTGTGTTACTTTATCTCTACTACTGTTAAAGGTGTATTCCCTCTGGAAAACATCAGCTAGATGGGTGTGGTGAAGAATAACAACGGCCCAACCCAAGTCTACTATCACCAGTGTTGGACACCATACACAACACACACTGACATTACCGACACACACTCACACACACATCAACCTGACACATGACTTGACTCATGCTACCCTAACCATACAATGCTGGACCCCTGCCCTCGTTGGCAGCCAGGTGCAGGTGGTCATCACTTACCAACCCAACAAGGTGTCACACAAACATCCATCAAATGCATTATATTACGTTTGTATTCTTCACACCTTTTTCTAGGCTTGAAGAGGGTAGTTAACTAATGCTGATGCCCAGAATTCAAATAACAAATCCACAAATTAAATCAAAATACCCACTGGTAGTACATTAGGGCTCATCTTCCTGGATCTGTACAAGCACAGCCAGACTCAACCCAATAAACACTTCTGGTTGTACATACCGTAATACCTTTAACACTTATGAGAGTGCAAACCCTGAGTTTGCGTAAACACATCTACCCTTTAAGAGTTTTGAATGTCTCACTCACCTCTCTGTCACTCAAGTCTGAAGGTAAAATGGTATTCCAGATGCTGCTAACAAAAACACACTAAAAAATACAAAAACACACCAAAATTCAGACCTGCCGCTAGTTGGTGTCTGCAGTTGACGTAGATAAAATCTATTTCTGGAGCAGATAAGTCCTGGCTCTTTAATCTGAACTCCCTGTTATTGGTTGACACCACCACCGTCTCCCAGGAGACCGGATGCCCTGAGCAGTCAGCAGCCAATCAGAGTGCAGGATTAAGAGGGGTGCCAGCCACTGGAACAACAAGAGGCAGGAAGTTGGCCTGTGACAGAGGTTTAGCGAGAGAGAGAGAGAGAGAGAGAGAGAGAGAGAGAGAGAGAGAGAGAGAGAGAGAGAGAGAGAGAGAGAGAGCGCAAAAGAGAGAGATAGAGAGAGGACGGACAGACAGACAGACAGACAGACACACACGCCAGGGCCGAAACAATGAGACACACAACAGAGCCGACCCAACCTTGTTAGTTATTGACCTACAGGTCTAGCAATGACCTTCTGGGCTAACGGCCTTCAGACTACAGATTAGCTTCTGGAAGGTTGTCTTCCTAGCAGGGTATTTTGTAGGACTTTGCCAGTCATGCAGAATTTTTATTCCTAATTACTGTATATGTGCAGAACACTCAGAAAGACAGATGATTCAGACAGAACATTCAGACATACAGAACACTCAACAGACAGATCATTCAGCAGACAGAACATTCAGAAAGATAGAACACCGAGACTCAAACCCAGATGGAACGCTCAGACAGACAGAACAGTCAACAGACGGAACACAGAAAGATAAACGCTCAGACTCAAAACACGTATGAAACACTCAGAAACAGAACACTCAGACAGAACACTTAGACAGACAGAACTCTCAGAACAATCAGACAGACAGAACACTGAGAAAGAGCACACAGAGATTGTATTGGAATTTACAGGCATTAAACTGTTAGGTGTGTGTGTGTGTGTTATGGTATAAAGAGGGTTAGGCCTCTCACTGGCCGGCTCAGAACATGGCCGCCTGATGCCGAGTGTTTTTGAGACGTAAACAAGAGTTGCGTAAGACTGTCTAATAGCACAACACTGCCGACTAGGGGATAGAGCTGTTATACACACACACCCACACGAGCATGCAAACACAAACGTGCATACACACACTGAACACATCCACATTCTCCACCGTTCAAGCTCATTCAAGTCTAAATCGGACACCTTCAGCCTTCAGTAGTTTTGTGCTGGTGGAAGTCAGAATGCTCAGCTACAGTATGTATAAAAGGGATAAGGCGCTATTTCAAATAGCCTTACACTGAATTTCTGCATTCTGAAACATAGTGCCTCACAAATATGCCCTGAGTGAGTAACTACGGGGTTATATTCACATGAACAGACATATCAATGTATCGTATCAGTCACCATGGCAGCCAAGATGCTCAGTGTGTCTGTCCTGCTCCTGTCTTATATAATAATAATACATTATGTTATACATTTACATTTTAGTCATTTAGCAGACGCTCTTATCCAGAGTGACTTACATGAGCAATTAGGGTTAAGTGCCTTGCTCAAGGGCACATCGACAGATTTTTCACCTAGTCGGCTCGGGGATTAGAACCAGCGACCTTTCGGTTACTGGCACAACGCTCTTAACCACTAAGCTACCTGCCGCCCTATATATAATCCAATCCACTCTTTAGGGTTAATAGAGAGAAGAGTAAAGAGGAGAGAAAAGGGAAGAGAGAAAGAAATGAGAAGAGAGTGTAAAGAATATACGAGAGAAAGTGAGAGAGGAAAAGAGGAGAGGAGAGAGAGAGAGGGGGGAAAGAGAGGAGAGAGCGAGGGAGAAAAAAGAGAGAGAGGGGATAAAGGTCTGCTGGATGAGGAGTGGACCAGATGCCAGTCTCTAGCACGGTCACTAATCTAAGTGCTGCTGGTAAACTGATTATCAGGGCTGTTTCTCTCTCTCTCTGTGTGTGTGTGTGTGTGTGTGTGTGTGTGTGTGTGTGTGTGTGTGTGTGTGTGTGTGTTGGGGGAAATGCTGCTTCTCTACAGATGGAAAACTGTGAAAATGCAACAGTGAAATGACTGCAATGTCAAACGTACAGGTAACTGCCAAAATAATGGAAACACTTGAGTAAATGAGGGATACAAAGTATATTGAAAGCAGTTGCTTCCACGCAGGTGTGAATCCTGAGTTAGTTAAGCAATTAACATCCCATCATGCTTAGGGTCATGTATAAAATATTATTTTGGCTACCATGGCTATGCCCCCATAGGATGACAATGCCCCCATCCACAGGGAATGAGTGGTCACTGAATGGTTTGATGAGCATGAAAACGATGTAACCCATATGCCATGGCCGTCTCAGTCACCAGAGCTCAATCCAACTGAACACTTATGGGAGATTCTGGAGCGGTGCCTGAGACAGCATTTTCCACCACCGTCAACAAAACACCAAATGATGGAATTTCTCATGGGAGAATGGTGTCGCATCCCTCCAATAGAGTTCCAGACACTTGCAGAATCTACGCCAAGGTGCATTGAAGCTGTTCTGGCTCGTGGTGGCCCAACGCCCTATTAAGACGCTTTATGTTGGTGTTTCCTTTATTTTGGCAGTTACCTGTATGTGTGAACTATGAACACAAATACCCGTTGCCCATTACATTTCCATTTACTCCATGTGCAATATGGAATCTGCCATGGCATTCAACTTTTCATTGTTCATTTATTCAAGCACTGGAGCCTGTCTCCTCCCCTTAATCTACACTGATGATTGAAGTGGATTTAACAAGTGACATCAATAAGGGATCATAGCTTTCACCTGGACAGTCTGTCATGGAAAGAGCAGGTGTTCCTAATGTTTCGTACACTCAGTGTATTTCTCTCTGTGTGTGTGTGTGTGTGTGTGTTCAACTCTGCTTGCATGGCTTTACTGAAAAGAAGCACAGAAGATGGAGTACAGCTTGATGGTTCAGTTAACATGACATCTAATACACACACACTGCTTCCAGTTCCTCTCTGACTCATCTTCAAATAAAGATTGGTTACATTATAGTGCTGTTATACCAGATGAATGCCACTGGAACCAACTATGTAATAGTCCCTCGTTACAGAAACCAAATTGAGTAGCTGGCCAGCGCACGTGAGAGATTTGGTTCTGTGATTGATGTAATATATATTATCCCTTAACAGACTAGAATGCAACTACTCAGTTTTCTGTTCTTCCATTACAATTGGCTTCCGCTTACATACATATCTGGTACCAGGTGCTTTTCCTATATTTAGGGCTACCTAGGAATATTATAATAGGCTAAACTATTGCGCTGTTGCCTATATACTCGGCCCCCAGGTGCGAGCCGGTTCACCTGGTCGTTCGGTGACACTCAGATAAAGCAGAGGCAGAGGCTTCACCTCCATGCATTACCTAACAACCTGTGCATTCTGTACATTATAATGAGGTAGATCAGCTTCTGTTCTGCATGCTCAATGTCTGCATTAATTACTTAGGATTTTGGTGGTGGCTGGCATCTAGTCTTGTCCTTGTCATAAATAGCAGAGTGACTATCTTGGTTAGCTATATGCCTATTAACATGAATCATTTATCAGGTGTGGAAACTGACAGATCATTTAGGCTACTGAGACAAACCATAATTGACAGCTGGACCAAAACCTGCATGAACGCTTTTACGCACCATCGAACGGTGCCGGCGCTCTACGGACTCTTGAGCTCATCTGAACGAGCTCTAAATAATGCAAATGTTGGGAGTCAATTCGTCTCATAATAAACCACAGGCATACGAACCCATGTCTGCAGAAGAAAGCTTGAGAGAGAAGCCGACCATGTCTATCTGGTCCGATCTCTCGGCTCCGGATGTGGGCATGCCTTCCCCGGCCTCCCCTGATGTCGCAGTCTCGTCCATTTACAATTCCCGGATAAGCGGCGCGCTATATGCCCTTCGTTGATGCAATGGAATGTATAGGACACTCTGACATCACGTTGAATAGGCTACATAGTTGGCCTCATCGCCTTTTCAACGTCGTATCTTCATCGTGGTAATTGTACGAGCATAATGCACACAATACGGTGGATGTCTTGTCGCATAGTACACAGCTGTGGCTCTATCCTACTGTTCATCTCGCGCATTATAAACCCACTCCGTTGCATTCTCACACGGCTGTGGCTGCGTCATTCAAGTAAGAGGGTCTATCATGCATGTCATCGGAGCATCTTCTAGCGGTTGACATGCTCATATACACTGAACAAAGTTACAGTTCATATAAGGAAATCAGTCAATTTAAATAAATAAATTAGGCCCTAATCTATGGATATCACATGACTGGGAATACAGATGTTTGTCACTGATACTGTACCTTTTTTTAAAGGTAGGGGCATTGATCAGAAAACCAGTCAGTATCTGGTGTGACCACCATTTGCCTCATGCAGCCCGACACATCTCCTTCATATAGAGTTGATCAGGCTGTTGATTGTGGCCTGTGGAATGTTGTCAATGGCTTCAATGGCTGTGCGAAGTTTCTGGATATTGGTGGGAACTGGAACTGTCATACACATCGATCCAAAGCATCCTAACCATGCTCAATGGGTGACATGTTGGGTGAGTATGCAGGCCATGGATGAACTGGGCCATTTTCAGCTTCCAGGAATTGTGTACAGATCCTTGCGACATGGGGCTGTGCATTATCATGTTTAAACAAAAAGTGATGGTGGCGGATGAATGGCACTACAATGGGCCTCAGGATCTCATCACAGTATCTCTGTGCATTCAATTTTCCTGCCCATATCATAACCCCACCGCCACCATGGGGCACTGTTCACAACATTGACATCAGCAAACAGCTCGCCCACACAAGGCCATACATGCTGTCTGCCATCTGCCCAGTGCAGTTGAAAACGGGATTTTTGAGAGTTTGTGGAGAGATTCTTCAGTTGTACAAACCCACAATTACATCAGATGTCCGGGTGGCTGGTCTCAGACGATCCAGCAGGTGAAGAAGTCGGATGTGGAGGTCCTGGGCTGGCGTGGTTACCCGTGGTCTGCGGTTGTGATGCCGGTTGGACATACTGACAAATTCTCTAAAACGACATCGGAGGAGGCTTATGGTAGAGAAATGAACATTAAATTCTCTGGCAACAGCTCTGGGTGGACATTCCTGCAGTCAGCATGCCAATTACACTCCTGAAAACATTAAAACATCGTGTTGTGTGACAAAACCGCACATTTTAGAGTGGCCTTTTGTCTACAGCACAAGGTGCACCAGTGTAATGATAATGCTGTTTAATCAGCTTCTTGATATGCCACACCAGTCAGGCGGATGGATTATCTTGTCAAAGGAGAAATGCTCACTAACAGGGATGTGCACAAAAGTTTAGCTAAATAGCTTTTTGTGAGTATGGAAAATGTTCAGCTCATGAAACATGTTACGTTTAGATTGTTGTTCAGTATAGAATGACAAATCCAGTCTGTGCGAAATCAACTCATAATTGAATTGGACATGTTTGCCCACTAAATGGTGTCAGGTTGGGTAGACTCCTGACAGCACAAATAATTTCCATTCCAAAATGAATAATAAAGATAGCGCTCTATAAAATAATATAGCCTCCAATCAGAGTTATACAATTAGTATGTGTTGAAATGTAGTTTATAATTGCAGACTATAAACAGTTTCAGTAGCTTTGACAGTTTATTCTATCAAATTAAATAAACACCTTCAGATAGTCATACAATAACACTGGTACAGACAAAGTCCACAATTGATAGGAAGCAGGGACAGTTAGACATTCATATCAGTGCTATTGGGATGCAGTAGGTCTCATTTGTTGGGGTGTGTTTTGCTTGGGAGTGCAGTGTGTTAGTAGCTACAGCAGTTGTGTGTATATCTGACAGTCCTCTCCTGTGTTCTAACTGGGTATTAGTGGGTGGTCCTGGGGGTTTTGCACGCTAGGTTTCATCAGGCCTGTCCTCTCCGCAGGCCGGGTTTACAGACAGGCCGTCACTGGTCCAGGACACACCCACTTATACCCACAATCCCAAAGGAGAGGTCAGACAGACGGATGGACAGGGGCTCAGGCATCACAGAGACATCACAGATATTTGGGAAGGTCCTTCTCGATCACCTGTGAGGGAGAGAGATGAATCAGAGCAAGGTTCCTATTACAGGGTTATCCTGGGGTTCTGCGATCTCCCATTACAAATCAGGGACACCACTTTAGGCTTTGAATAATATCAATATGGTTACCCTTTGCGCCAGTCGGCACCACTTTGGTAGCCAAATGTGCTCCATAAACCATATTTTGAACTGGCCACTATAGGGTATCCTCTCTCTACAAATAGTCAAACATGATTTTCTCAGATTACAGACTGATGCATGACTGCTGTCCACTTACAATGGGGTCGTCCATTGGCCCGTATCTCTTCACCACCTGCCCTTCTCTGTCTATCAGGAACTGAGAGAGGAAACAAACACAGCATGACATAAAGTACAATAGAACGTCATAGCAAAATGTTTAGTAAGCAACTTAACTCTCAATGTTGAGTCTTAAATCATGTCAGTGTGAGAAAAACAAAGTTACCTTTGTGAAATTCCATTTAAGGTTACTGTGGAGAGAGAAACAGCTGTTACAACCATATTATTAGGAATTAGAACATTACAACAATGTTCTAGGCAACTGGTGCAAACTGGCCCCTGAAGTCAAAATAATCTAATAACATCTGTGAAAAACCAAACAAGTAGGACATGGAGCATAGGCCCGGACCAATAGACCTATCAGGGGGATTGAACTCACTTTCCCAGAGTTCCCTTGCCCTTGGGCTGTTCCTTCATCCACTTAAAGAGAGGGTGGGCATTGTCTCCGTTCACGTCGATCTTGCTGAACATGTCGAACTGAACATCAAATTGTTTGACAAACTCCTTGATTTCCACCTCTGTACCTGGCTCCTGGAGAATGGAAAAGGAGAAGCAGTCAAACCATATAATTAGAATTGGCAGAATGGAAATTCCAATTCAAAGCCAGAGTCCGGTGGCCATATTGGTTGTACTCTGGATCTTTAGGATGTCAAACTGCCCTCATGACACAACACACACCATTGTGGATGAATGAAAAGGCTATGCCACAGTAGTGGTTTGAGCCGGTACCATACCTGCCCTCCAAACTGGTTGCAGGGGAAGCCCAGGATGCGTAAACCTTTGTCAGCGTAGGAGGCGTGCATTCCCTCTAGCTGAGTGTAGTTTACCCTGGTCTTACCTCACTTAGAGGCGACATTGGTGATGATGCAGACAAACCCCCTGGGCAGAGGAGAGAGAACACCGTGCGGGGTTAACGTTAGAGAGGAAGTAGTACCGATACCTGGGGTGAGTTTCTACCTTTCTGGGCCTGCTCTCTCACCTGTATTTCTCTAGGGACACATCTTCACCATCTATGTCCTTGGCGCCAAACTCATAGATAGATTTGGCTGTCTTCCAGTCACCCACTTGCGCACACTGAGAAAGAGGGAGGATGTTAGTCTACAGTACAGCAACTGAACCAAAGGGTAATGTTGTACAACCACAGGGAGCAAGGCCAGGACAATGGAATGACCACTTAAAAAAAGGTCCAATGCAGCCATTTTTCTATCAATATCAAATCATTTCTGGGTAACAATTAAGTATCTTACTGTAATAGTTTTCCATTAAAATTGACAAAAACAGCTTTTTAGCAAAACACTATTTCTCAAGCAAGAATGTTGCTAGGACTGTCTGGGAGTGGTCTGAGTGGGGAGGGGAAAACTGAGAACCTGCTGTTATTGGCAGAGAGGTTAATAACTCTTTGCTGTTGGTCTATTAACTAATTTACCGACTGGTGACGTCACCAGGTTGTATAAAATTGATTTTGAGGTATGTGGCCGCAATGTTTGGGCTGATCAGTATGCACAAAGATTAGGTACCACAAGTAAGCTAAGCTAACATTTCCATAACCGCAACTCTTCTTTCGCAACGTTTAGTATGACTTCAGGGAGGGCAAGACTTTTTCTATCTTCATAAAAAATACTTATGTCCTGAAAATGACTCATTCATTGCTCAATTCTGATAAGGGCCTGCATTGTGTACTCATTTCCCAAAATTAGAAGATCCTGTGTAGACTGGATTTTCAACCAGCAACTATTAGGACATAACACTGATTTAAAAGTTAGATCAGCTATTGTACAACATGACACAAAAAAACAGGATTTTGAAGGCAATGGGCCTTTAAGACTTGAAATCCACCCACTGATGTGTTGGTGTGGACCACTGGACCTTGAGTAAGTCATAAGCAAATAAAATTCACTGCAATAGCCTTCGTGAGAAACCTTACACAACTTCAGAAAGATTAATCTAAGAGAACATAAAACTGAGATTGGAGTTAAGGTGAAAATAGTGATATGGTCGCACACACTGGATGTTATGCTGAAGGGATATGACCCCAAATCTAAACTACCAGAGTAACTTTTCACTTAACAAAAATCTGTGTGTGTAGCTAGAGAAGTGTTGTACAGAATAACTGCCTAGTAAATTAACTGGCTTAGATTGGAGCTAGTCAGCGACAAACAGCCCACTGTTTTATCATTATCCACAGGAGGGATAATCTGCAGATTGTAAACAAATTAAAAACGGGACTTAACTGGACAGGGAGGGCGGGGTTCCTTATGACCTTAACATGCAGCTAGGCCTATAAGAACTAGCCTATGTGAAGAATGAATGGGTACACTGAAGATGCCCCAAGACACTGATCTACGGTCAGTTGAGTTTGTCAGTAATGGAAAGGGAAACTTCAGCTCAATCATAGCGGTGCATCTCAATAGCCTAAACAGGTTTATTTTCCTTGTCTCATTTCCTCCATCCGCAATGATCCTAAATGATAGGTCAGGTGAAACTGATATTAGCAAGGCTCCTGTAGTGATTTGCTGTCACTTATCCAGTTGTATGAAAGATTAAGGAAATTATTTGATGAGATGCCCATCCCTGTAAACACTAATCTAGCTAGCGTCATGATGCTACTGCAGTCTTTTCACGCAACCTGGTCTCAGAGCGTATTATTCTGTACGCAAATCCAACACTCCATTTAGTATGACGTGAAGAATTGCAAAATGTACAATTTGTTACAAATATGTATGATACAAATTCCTATTTGTTGTTGCTAACGCTAACATTAGCTAGCTGGCTAAAGTTAGCTAGGCTAGGAGTTAGGTTAAAGGTTAGGGGAAGGGTTAGCTAACATGCTAAGTAGTTGCAAAGTAGCTAAAAAGTAGTAAGTAGTTGCCGATTAGCTAAAATGCTAAAGTTGTCCGTGATGAGATTCGAACACGCAACCGTTGGGTTGCTAGACGTTTGCATTATCATTTCGTTTTTGCCTTAAGTAACCCGTCTTATGTAGGGTAAGTGTACCTATTAAGCCCACCAAAATCTACACTGAACAACAACAAAAAAGTACACAAAATGCAACAATTTCTAAAATTTTACTGAGTTACAGTTCATAAGGAAATCAGTCAACTGAAATATTCTTTAGGCCCTAATCTATGGATCTCACATTACTAGGAATACAGATATGCATATAATGGTCACAGAAGGAAAACCATTCAGTATCTGGTGTGACCACTATTTGCCTCAAGCAGTGCGACACATCTCCTTTGCATAGAGTTGATCAGGCCGTTGACTGTTGATTGTGGCCTGTGTAATGTTGTCCCACTCCTCTTTAAGTTGCTGGATATTGGCGGGAACTGGAACGCTCAATGGGTGACATGTCTGGTGAGTAGGCAGGCCATTAATGAACTGGGACATTTTCAGCTTCCAGGAATTGTGTACAGATCCGACATGGGGCCGTGCATTATCATGCTGAACCATGAGATGATGGCGGTGGATAAATGGCAGTACAATGGGCCTCAGGATCTCGTCACAGTATCTCTGTGCAATCAAATTGCCATCGATAAAATGCAAAAGTGTTCGTTGTCCGTAGCTTATGCCTGCCCATACCACAACTCCACCATGGGGCCCTCTGTTCGCAACATTGACGTCAGCAAACCGCTCACCCACACGACGCCATACACGTGGTCTGCTGTTGTGAGGCCGGTTGGACGTACTGACAGATTCTCTAAAATGACATTATGGTGGAGAAATGAACATTAAGTTATCTGGCAACAGCTCTGGTGGACATTCCTGCAGTCAGCATGCCAATTGCACGTTCCTTTAAAACTTCGACATCTGTGGCATTGTGTTGTGTGACAAAACTACACATTTTAGTGGCCTTTTATTGCCCCCAGCACAAGGTGCACCTGTGTAATGATCATGCTATTTAATCAGCTTCTCGATATGCCACACCTGTAAGGTGGATGGATTATCTTGACAAAGGAGAAATACTCACTAACAGGGATGTAAACAAATTTGTGTACAAAATTTGAGATAAATAAGCTTTTTGTGCGTATGGAATATTTCTGGGATCTTTTATTTCAGCTCATGAAACATGGGACCAACACTTTACATGTTGCGTTTATATTTTTGTTCAGTGTAAGTTTAGACATTTCTAACATATAATGCCCTAATTTTTATAAGAAAAGTGACGATAAAATGAAAGATGAATCTCTCATCTGAAGACTTTACTTACAGCATTTTTTAACAAGACATAACAATATTTGATAAAATATGTGAAAAGTCTAGACTGGGTTTATTGGGTACCAAATGTAACCTTTAAGCCGACAGGTGTTCCAAATAAGCCCACCTCTTCAACAATTCATTTCCAAATGTTCAAAACTTACATTTCTTATGTAAAATGATATTAATATCCCCCAAAGTTATTAAAAGAAACTGATCATTACTAGTCATCATGAACATAGCACTCATTACAGGGGGGTGTCCCATCGTATCCACAGAGATCAATGTGGACTTAGGCTGTTGTTCTTGCCAACCAGTACACACCTGATTCAACTAATCATAGACTCAGGTGTGTTATAGCTTGGTTACAACAAAAACCTGCACCCACACTGGCTTTCTGTTGATAAGAAGCCATGTACAAAGACCATAACGCACACACACAACTTTGAATGAATCATCTGAAAGCTGATTCACATTTGCTGTACTGCCATTCAACTTGTCTTACTAAAGCCTATCTGAAGACAGTTTTAATCTCCCTCTATTGTTGTATTACAAAGGTACAGGTAGGTGGTGGACCAAAAAATTGAATCACCTGGATGAATGAAGGACAACAATATGACAATGCCCCCACCCAAAAGAGCATGAGTAGTCAAAGTAATCTCCATGTTCCTCATTTGTTTGCATTTTTGTCTACCACTTGTAGGTCTTCTATCCCTGAGCATATTCTTCTCTCTCTGCATCAACGACTACCTATCCACTCCAAACATCTTGGAGAGAGTACAGAGGTTTTGAATTGTTCCAAAATTGTTTCTAATCTTGGTAAAGGAATCATGGCTAGATGCATAACTGTAGTTTGTGTTAATCAACTTAAATCTGAACAAAAAACATTTACGCTCATGTTCATTGACTATTACGAATATCCACACTGTATTCCCCATGTGTTTCAATAATAATAATATTAAGCCATTTAGCAGACGCTTTTATCCAAAGCGACTTACAGTCATGCGCGCATACATTTTTTTTTGTATGGGTGGTCCCGGGGATCGAACCCACTACCTTGGCGTTACAAGCGCCGTGCTCTACCAGCTGAGCTACAGAGGACCACCAATGCAAACTGGGCTTAACAGGAACATACTGGGCTTAATTGGAACAGTGATTTATGGTGAAAAAGACAATAGCAAAGTCTACTCACTATTTGGAAACCAATGGTTTGGGGTCTAAATACACACTATAGATTACAATATTATGCAAAGTTTGTTTTGACCATGTTGAACAATATTTATTGCCATTTACATTCTGTATAGAGGGAATGTTTTTTGTGCTACTGTACCCTTTAAGCCCACCTGAGATAAATGTACAATTTACAAAAAATGGCATCTATGTATAACAAAGCAAGGTTCATTTAACAGTAAAATAAGACCAAATGCATTAAAAACATAAGCTGTGAATGCCTGAAATCTATTATATTTTTGTAGTTCACCAAGTTGTGACATGCAGGCACGACTACTAGCATGAAAACCCCATATTTTCAAAATGTCAAGAAATAGTCATTAATGCCCATGAAATATGCCATCATGTGCATATATTAGCACATTAATCTCTTAATTTTATATAAAGTATGATCACTTATCGGAAAAGGTACTAAAAATATCGGGGAAATGTGTTTCTGAAGGTCACCTCAACACCAGTGTTTTTTAAGCTTTGAAATTGACCACTATTGGGAACTTACACATAACTGTCAATAAATTAATAAAACATTTGATTGGCTTAGAGTAAAAACTGTTAAGGATAAAGACAGATGAATTGCTTTAAATATTATACAGCAGATTATTATTATTATTTGTTTTCTTTGAATCTAAAGATGGAAGTGGGCTTAATGGGTACGTGGGCTTAATAGGTACGCTTACCCTAACCATACATAACATTCTAATTTGTCTCTCATTTAGTTTACTATGTTACGTCTAGTCTGAGACCAGGCTGCTTCACGTGATCGAGCTGTCTCAGAGCTGTATGCCAAGACTGGCTGTCATGCCATCATAATGCCGCGTTCACGTGCTAGTTGGAACTAGAACACTCGATATTTCCGACTTGCTAACTGGTAGAACGCGGCACGTGTATAATAATAACTAGTAAGCAAGCAGGAAATTCCCATGTTTCGACTAGCACGTAAACGCGGTATAAAATGGATTTTGAGGTATGTGGCCGCAATGTTTGGGCTGATCAATAGGCACACGGATTAGGTACCACAAGTAAGCTAAACTAACACTTCTATAACCGCAATGCTCTTCTTTCACAACGTTTAGGATGACTTCAGGGAGGGCTAGACTTTTCCCATCTTCATAGAAAAGCCTGATGGTCTTAAATAACTAATTCATTGCTCAAACCCGCATTACGCGCAGTCATTTCCTATATCAGTATCCATTGTACGTGCATAGTTAGTTTGCATGTTTACAACCATATAAACTACTCATTACTAACTACTTCGTCTAAATGTTCATTTTAGGTTCGTGATTATTATATCGCCATTCTGCTAAAGTTGTTATAAATGAGTCTTAGCAAGCTACTAGTTAGCCAGACAACTGCATTAGTTCACTGGTAAGCTACAGTTAGCTAAACCATAGCATTTAGACCAACAATAGTCAAAACTAATTGAAAAAGCTATAACATTAACTTGAAAACACTGAGACTTGAAACTTTATCAAACAGCGGTCATCATTTGCTGAGATGACCATTAGTTAGTTTGCGGACAGCTGTCGATTTGACGCTACCGTTAGCTGGCGGGCTAGCTAATTTTTCCAAACTGGCTGGCAAATGTTCCACATCGGACAGAGTTTACCGTTGTACCTACCGACGTTGTGTAAAAATAGCAGTCCATTATTTGACCTACCTTCACTTAACTGACATAACTAAAACACTCATTACACGTTTAATGTCACAAAACAATAACTAGCTAGCATAGAAGTTTAGCACACCAAACATCCTTACCATTGCTCTACTGATTCCTCGGCTGCCCACCAAACCAAACACTAGCGCACGAGTCACGATCCACATCGTTTGACCAAGTAGTTAAAGTAGTGTAGTCCCGCCCAGTGAGGGAAAAAAAATGATGTAGCCAATCCCGGCGCTGTATAGTAAAGATAATATAAAACAGTTTGAATGGACATTAACCCTCTTATGACGGTATAAAAGGTCATTCATTTTGGTGAGGGAGTTAGTCAACCATGGTTTGCCAGTACAGTGAAAATATATTGTGTAAAACAATTAATTTGAAGAATGTATCTGCACTGTATGTTAGCTAGCTAGCCAGCCAGTTTTAGTAGTGGTGGAGAGTCGACTCTAAAATAATCGATTCCTCGAATCCTTGACGTCGACTCCCGGTGTCGACTCCCATTTCCGCTAGGAATC